TTGTATTCTGAGGTTAATCAAACGCCTCTTTCTCAGATCAGTTCTTGGAAAAATTTGTAAGCCGATGACATGCCTACCTATTATAAAGTGGTCGAGGAATAGCGGCCAGCCCCTGAGTTGATGAAGTCTGTGACGAATATCCCCTGGTCCCATAACTTATCTGAGACGTTGCGATAGTCGGAAAGCAGCGGCTCGATAGCAGCCATGGTTCAGGCGTACTTGTCACTCACAGCTGGAGAGGCTATCGCCTTCCGCCTGAGAAGGCGTCGCTTTATTGCTTGCATTGCTCTTTCTGAGGAAGTTCGCGCGCGCCAGAGCGGGGCTGCGCGGCTTCGTGAGCCAAACGGACCTAACAGGAACAAAGCACGGCAATGCGCTGCGAGAGCGGAAAATGCTATGCGGTGGGTGACTGAAATATGCACGAAAGAATCCACAAGCTCTGTAAGGCCAGCACACTCGGCGAGTCAGCACAGGGCAAGGAGGAGGAGCCAAGCACATGAGACTAAGAACGAGTCATCGGCACCGAATTCGAAAGCTGAGGCTTCTGTTAACATCCGACTGAGTCACCTCCTACTGGCGGAAGATGACGCCTGCTACTTTTCGTAGGCAGCTGCAAACGCACAGGCCGCGCCGTCTGCGGTCGCAAAGGCGACTCGCAGCAGCTAAACAGTTTCACAGTCAATGTTAGTTGCTAGCTAGTTTCAGCCTGCTTGAAAAATACACCGGTTTGCAGAAAATTGATCAGTTCTTGGAAGGCTGAAGGAGCCAGCACAAAATACGTGCCGCCTCGTGACATATGCGCGACGTATACTCACGTGTTCACGTATGTTTAAACTTGTAGGTGAAACTTCTTGCCCACGGAACATGAAAAACGCATGTGACGGACAGGGAGGAATTTTAAAGCGATCCATGCCACATGCAGGCCTGCAGCAGCCGTAAGATGGGAAGGTACTGATGTGGCGAGTGTTCAGAGGCCACGGCGCGAAGTCTCTGAGACAAAGTGTCGCGTTTGAAGCGTGTCAGTGGATATTGCGCTGAAGGCTAAACAGCCTCGAATATCTCAGTACGTGTTTGAGGACGTCACAGACTCGGTGAGCGTGTCAGACGATATCGCGCCGAATCCTAAACAGCCCGCGGATCGGTTTAAGATTGCTTTGGTTGAGAAAGGGTTACAAGGATACCACAAGTTTACAGCCGCACGTACTGCCACTGATCGAATCGCATGAGGGGCATAGTCCTCACATTTGCCCCAAATTATGTTTTGTGCACGCCAAGTCTTCCTATACAAGGCACCTTTTTACATTTTTGTATTCAAAATAGCAGTTTAGGGCAGATCGTATCCGAGATTCCAGTTTGACGCCCCAGTCCTGATGCCTCCAATCTTAGAGAAGTGGTCATATCCATGGGTGCCTGAATGCGGCAATGAGACCCGGTCGTTTGGTGGTTAACACTTCTGAACTGCAGATTTCACGCTGAACCTTCTGTTATGAACCCCTTATCAACAAACCGAAAAACAAAAATAGTTGCGAATCGGTACTGGGTGTCACTCGCAGTTTTGTAAGTGATTAGGCAGTCATCTTATGTAAAATGTGCGCATAAGACAAAAATTAGTAAGATACAAAGCTGTTACCATAAAATATGTTCAACTGGCCAAATGTTTTCAATGAATAACCCGCACTTCCTATGCTTTAAAATTTATTGAAATTATTAGGTCAACAGATGACACATACCCAGGCCGACTCTCATAAAGATCTAGTAGGTGCACACAACTTTACCACCAATGCGTTTGTCAATTTTAAGTTTGTCCAAATCTGTTGTTCTAAGCGATATAATTTTCTTGTGAATTTGTAAATAAATCGAACCTGGCATGCAGTATTCGACCATAACTTAAAAAATAGGTTATGAGCGCAAATTATCATACTTGACCCGGAATGGTCAACTTCTGAGATCTTGCTTTTCGTCATCAAAATTTGCACGTTTGTCCCTAAAAGAGTTTTGTTCATGGCATATGTAGCTAGTAGTTACTAAATGACTTTGATATCATAGTTTCAATGACCTGTATTTTTTACCCGTGACCCCACCATGCTTTTAGATTGGTCTATCAAGGAAAAAGGCTAGAATAGGTCCATGCATCTTTTTAGGAGCATAAAAGAGGGTGCAGTGCACTTCTCTACATTTCCCTCACTGACTTACCTGGTATTACCAAATTCTGCAGTAAACACCCCGCGCCAGCTATTGCAGAACATCCCAATAGGAAGTGTACCTGAATCACTTTAAGTATAAAACAAGCAGTTTGTATCGATAGAATTTCAAGCATAAATAAACAGTGTATTTTTAAGGACAATCTGGCCACAGGCGTAAACTTAAAAACGAACTTCCGATATGACTTACTAATTGGCCTATGTAGTCCTGATCGCATCACAGGTGCAAAGTCACCGCTATCGCAGGTTTTGCTCAAAATTAACGTTGACACGTAACGGAAGCCCAAAGGGCACGTAAGAAGGCCATGTCTAGGTCCAGTGAGCCGCTACATTCCGCATTCTTGATTGTCGTATGATGGCTAATAAGTCGTTAAAAGATGCCTTTGACGCCTGAAAGTGGCAGCACAATACGTTGGACTCGAGAAATGTATCTGGATGACAGTTTTCACATCGTGCTTACCAAGTGATGTCAACAAATCACTCATTCAGGTGGCTACATATGAATACACCACTAAGCGATGTGAATACTCACAATACAAATTACATAATCCTGACGCTTACAAGTTCACTAGGCCCGGTTCTTGCTCTTAACTTAGGGCTTAATCGTGCCATAGTATTAAGACTTTACCAGCTTGTTCAATCTTGCTCGAACTATGAGCAATGTCACAAAATAAGGAGTTGCATTGTTGCCGAATAACTGCTATCAAACGAACTGTGCGCTCAGCAACCGCCAATCTGGTTTCAGCCTGTGGTCCGGGTTCTCAAACGTTGTGGAAAGCCGAGCAAAAAAAAAAAAAAAATCGCAGCACGTTTTGAATCGGCAGCGCTTTACATAATGCACTAGAAGCGCTCCTTCTGCTTTACCTTTTGATGCGTCTTTCGTTCTTTTCGTTTGCTATTTCGTTTGTTTGTTGTCTGTTTGTTCGTTCGTTGAAATGCGTTGGGTTTCGTTCTTTCGTTTGCTGGATAAACGTTGACTAGACCAATGTCCTTGCATCATATTTGAGGACAATTATCATAATATATTCATAACGCAGCTCACAATCTATTTTGCACTATTTAGCTATGTTTTTTTACAGCGATGCTTGCCGGAATTTGTTCAATAAGTCAGAAAATATTGTGTTACTTCTTCCACGGCGTGAAAGCCGTTGTGCATTGCGCAACGCGATCATTGTCAACTGTGTTCCATAGTAAAACTCTGGTATCCCGAACAAACTATTCTCTTCTCATGCATGACCTCAGCAAAATTTTGAGGAAGGTGGTTCATATTGGATATTTGAACCACCTGCACAGAACGCGACTCACGCCGACGAACCCTGCTGTAGGAATTATTCACAGAACGCAGGGAGTCAGGGTAGTTTGACAAATGCCGAAGGTGTTTTGATAGTTCAGCATTTTAAAGAGATGCAGGAATACAGAAGTTATCTCTATGTTATCAATCGCAGCACATCATTAGTAAAATGCGTGATAATTTTGTGTAGCTCGTGTTTTTATAACTTTATGAAACGCTTATGCCTGATTTTAAGGAGCACGAATATAGTTTAATAAACTAACACGCGGTTCAGCCGTCGCTTTCAAATGCATTAGCGCAAATAGGTGGTAATGCCTACGTGCATCTGTATGGTGTCATTCTCTCCTAGTCCTAAAAAAACAAAGTGATGGACAATATTCTTAAAGGAGTACCTTTTGGTAGCACTCTACGGAGTTAGACTGCCCACAGTTCAGAAAATTCCGCGCTGTATGACTGAAGACTTTGAGTATCTTTCTTGTTTTCCAAAAACAAGCCTGAGAGTTCAACTTAAAGCGTGCGGCCATTGAGCTGTAAAGAGTAAAGTGAGATCAGCCTAGGTTATGGAATAACCCACCAGCCTTAACTTGGTCTGGGACAAACATGTATTTTCAGCCTTCATGCATTATGGAAATGTTTGATACAAGGTAACTTTCTACCAATCTAAATTTAAGCTTTCCAAGATTTGACGTCATGTGACCATGCTATCGACCTTTTACCGAGATAACCTGACGAAAGGTCGCGCGCACGGCGCCAAAAAGGAGTGACGGGGCGCGGTTGTTGCTGTATTTTACCACTTGGCCTTGAACAACTAAACATTAGCCCCATGATCTCAGAGGAAAGAAAGCTAAAACACCCGGGACACATGTAAACATGTTTGAAATTGAGATAGGCGAATTTCAGTGCAATACCGAGTGGACTAGAAATGTTGAAAGATGAGTACAAAACACCCCAAGCGATTGTCCTAATGTTGCTGTAATAGCCCGTGTAAAGTTATGCCTAAATTGCGCAATCAATTATTGCATTGCGCAATCAATTAGCAATTCAGAAAACTATTCATTCAGCACTGGCAACTGCTCATTCGGTGGCACAGATTAAGCAACAAGCACTTCTGGGACTACAATTTTTTGTAATACTACAAGACAACGCTTAAATGTGCGTGGGAAGTCGTCATTACATTACTCGCTTATCGCACGGAAATGTCATCACTTATGCACGACGTCATGATCCGCGTAATTCATCATGATCCAGGTACGTTACGATTGGAATAGGCTGGTTTTACTTTGCACGCTGGAGCATTGTGTCGCGGAATCGGGAATCTCGTATTCATAAAAAATGCTGGAGCCTAAAGTTGTGTGCAGTATCAAAGGGTTACGATATTATTATATTTAGATGTCACATGCCCATGCGTTTTGTTTAGTGCTGCATGTTTTATGGGCCGATTACTAAGCAGGATAAAAATGAATTTTATTGAACACCGATTAGTGTAGAAAGAAGGACGGAATATTTACCAAGCACCAGAGTTGGCCAGCTCTCCATTCTGGCAGACAGCCCTTTCAGGAATATCTGGTGCAGAAACAGGAGAGTCTCGGAGTTCAGGAAGATTGTGTTCACGTCTTCATGACTGCACGGCGGCATTTTTGAAGAGGCAGCCATTTTAAACGGCCTCAAAAAACCTGTCACTAAAATATTGAGCTGCTCCACATACTCTTCTTCCGCTTCAACCATCCGAAACACCAGGCTGCGAACAAAAACAAATTTTTCTTGAAACGGCTGTTGAAAAAATCGGACCTGTTTTGGAAAGCGTATTTTTAGACTAAGTGAATGATGGCCAACCGGGGCGTAGTTATGGTTGTTCTTTTAGAGGGAAGGGGTTAGCAATTAACAACGATCATTTTGCCCTCATAACACGCTAAAAACGAGCGTCGCTTCGGATTTGGCCCATCATTATCCTCCAAAGTCGGGGCTAGTGCCCAATTTGGGAAGGGGCTGAAGCCCCTCCCCTTCCCATATGGACAGGGAACTACTCCCCTGGTAGCAAGCAATGAGAAGAAACGTGGCTAAATAATTGACGCTGCAACCAAGACATCGCGCATGCGCAGTACCTGTTACGCTTGCGCATGGTCTCTGCATGCGGCGACTTGATATACTCTTCGACGATTTGCTTCCAGCGGCGCCGGCAGAGCCAGCCTCGGAAGAAGCTCTGCACTTTCTTGATCTTACGGATGTCCTCAGAGTCCTCTCCGTCCTCCGACTGCTGGTGCGGCATGAACCGCCAGTCCTTCTTCAGGGTGCACAGCTGCACAAGGGGCAAGGCACAGAGTGGATCACAAAGTGGCGCATCAAGAAACCGCGGGACATCTTCCGGGGCGCTGCAGTATGCTTAGCGGCAGTCCGTGACTAGGATGAGCGCGCAATGCTCGTTGCAGCGGTTAACATTTGTGAAGCAAATGTATATTGCCGCTCTAGTCTCTCGTGCGTCAGTTTGTTCTGCCATCTACAATAATGGTTCGATAAAAATTATGGCATGATTGAACCGATTTTAAGTTCTCACACAAGGCTGTTTTCCACTGAAATAAATCCAATCACGTATTTGACCCGCGAGAGGGACTGGGGCGGCTGTCAGCTTTCGACCAGCCCGATGTAGCACGCCCACGCTCGCTCCTAGGATGCTGCGGTGAAGCGAGGCGGAAACACCCCGGGAGAAGGCTCGCAGAACCAGACAGGCGCAGGGCCGCCAAGCGCGCGCGGACGGCTGGGAGTGCCCACCCCGCCGCAGCACAAGCTCCGGCTGTGGCTGGTCCCCGATGCGCGTATCAGTGTTCTACGATGCCCTTCCGCCACTTCTGACGGAGCGCTCGGCGCCGGCTTTCGGCTCGGCGTCTCAATTGCTGGAGATTTGATTTTAATTGGTATAGCGAGTTCTTTTACATAGAATGTGCATGTGAGCTAGGTCATTTTTATTCGACTGTGTTACGCCACTGGACATTTTAGTCTCTCATTTTTTGCGTATCTCGTTCAATACAGTGAAATGATACAATGTAACGCAATTACTGTGTTGAATACTCACTGCTCCAAGGCCATGCCTTTGACCAGCGTTGCATGCTGTGCCCAAGCAGACTTATCCTCAACTCCGGATGGAGTCAGAATCAGCCCCGGATTCAAACAAACGTTCTTTGAGTCGGGGTGTAGCTTATTCCAGTCACACTTCCTTGTAAGACAGAATCGGAGTGAGCCATCCGAAACATCGGCGAGTTAAACAGGCATGCGAGCTACATGGTACATGCCCGGCCAGGCTGATAAAGCGTATGCGAACAACCTGAATCAGTCATACGTAACTGCACTGTCATCCAAGTGTCATTTTCAGGCTTTTACGAAGGTCATCTGACGAGCCATCTCATGTTCCCGTAGAAATCGATTTCACCGGAATTCATCTGGGACTTGAGCCGCATCTCCTTCCGTCACAATCGGAGCACACTTTAGGTCGCGCAGTGGTAGTCAGAGACGAGGTAGGCAGCAGCCACATGCTCTGCGAGTCAGAGTCGCAGTCGATTTCGCGGGAGCGAAATCAAAGACACGGACATGCATTTACGCCCAGGATCCTGATGTCCAGCTTTCTACTCTTTCGCACCAGCTCCACGAATAAAATCGTGGGAATACGTTCAATAATCTTGGTGGACAAATGCATGGGTGACTAATTTATTACACCACAGCATTAGCGGCTTACTTCTTGCGGTTGGATAGTTCGCCGGTGAGTTTAAGTGGCTCGTTCCTTTCAATCACTTACAGGGATTGTTCCCCATTTGTATGGGGTCTTGAACTGAGGGAGCCGTGTTGAATGCCATTCAGTTAAGTTCACAGTCCTGCGCTTCCTAAGACTTAAGCCCCTCTGGTTTCTGAGCTGGGCGTCCGTGAGCGTGTGCAGATTATTTCATCCGTACTAGTCCAAGGCCACCCAAGCATGCATGACGCCATAGAAACGTCACGCAAGTACTGCCGATCCCATTGGCCATACGGTGCTCAAGACCAACATAAATATATTCGTCGAGTTATACGTAACTGCCGTATATCAGCACCTTGTATTACACCAACGAAAATCAACGGGCTATAAAGCAAGGTAAAACATGCAGTGCAAGTTTCGAACAATAACATAAAGAAAAACATACATTTGGATTACAGCTCTTTCGGCCAGTCATGGCCATTTCAGGACAATGGGATGAAAGAGAATGAATAACGGTGAGGTAGATCTCCATGCACCTGAGGGCCCAACCGCTGCAACTAAACCCGCACAAGGCTCCCTCTGCACGGTACATGACTGGCACTCGGAAAGGCTCTCCAGAGGGCCTCTCGACCAACTCGTGACTAGCACATGCAGCCTGCCCCGGACAAACGGGACGCGGCGAGGATGCCGGATGAAGCGAGAAACAGGGGTGGGTGAAACGAGCGCGAATCACATTTTGTGCTCCATACCTTACAGGAAGTTAGACAGTGGTACTAGTTATGACGGTAATAAGACTGAAAATCGAATAAGGTAAGGATGCACCAAAACCGAAGATGTAAATGCAAGCAAACAATGTAAATCACTGATTGATATGCAAGAACACCACGAGAAAGAGCTAAGACATGTGTACGAACCAGTTCCGACAACGCACCGATAGCTGGACACCTCTCGAGAAGCTGAGGTACTGCGAGTTAGTCAGCCCGCCCGCCACAATAGGCATCTCGCACGGCCAGTTTGGCAGCCCCTCCGACGTCATACAAACGGGCCATGGCTCAATAAAACGGTGGCGTATTGAGGAGCATGATTACTGACTAGTGGAAGTTTTGGTCTAGAGCGGTTTTTACACTGAAAAGCATACCAATGACTGCAAGGGAGCTTATTTCATTAAATATGATACTTGCCTCAATGCCTTCCAAGATGGAACATTGCTTTAACTGGCTGCACAGCAGGCATAAAATTGGGTGAGAGCCAACTAGAGTTCGTTTTTCCTGTAATTCGTGCTCACGAACGCCATATACGAACGCTCCGTGGATTACATTGTTTTTACCGTTGAACTGCACGGGGCTAATTGAGTGATAAGGTTTGAGCAACGTTTTTATGGCATCATACATGTCTGAATGATCTTAAAATAGTCTGCACGAAATAGTCAGCACATCTTCGCGGGCGCGTAGCCCAGAAATGTAACAGGTTCTACGACTCAAAAAAGACAGTGGGGCTGAACTGCTCTGAATGATCTTTTAGATGACTATTTCAATTAAAAATTATATACAAATGCAGAATACCCCCTTTAACCCTAAAGAAACTCAATGACGTACCAAATAAAATTGACCACGCTTACCAATGCGTTTAAACTAGCTACAACGGCATACGCGCCAATGGCACCATGCACGATGATGTGTGTGGTATATGCAAGATATCACGTGCAGGTTACACTGCAGATTACCTAAGAGGTTTACTGCACCTGTGGCAATCAAAACATAACACCTCGGCTCCACCAAATGTTATGAGTCTGTCCGACGCGGTCATCAATTTCAGCTAATGCTGCGGACTCATCAACGTCGTAAAACCGTTTACGATACATTGTTCCGGCTCGCTATTACTAAGTGGAATGATGAAATTCGTCATGAAGCACTCCTGCTGGTGGAAGCTTAGGCTAATTATTGCGCGCGAATTTATTGAGAATTCTGTCAGGCATTTTTGGCTGGGATAGATGTGTCAAAGCCGGTGAAAAGTAGCGCGAGAAGGACTAGCGCGCGAAATGTAGGCGACCAAACAGCCAATAACTCATGCAGTGGGTGCATCTGATGTCGGGATGGCAAGTGCGTCAACGCGTAAGATCGACGCACGATAATCGGCTTAGTGACAGGCCAAGCTGACCAAAATTCCAGCTGATGCCTGATTCCCCGACAGGCCAGTCGCCAGGCTGTCAGGCTGTGTTAACCACAGATCGCTGTCGTGGGGTGAGCCAGGTGCTCCCCAATAAATGTGATAATCCACCTTATTGCCGCTCATACACCGGAGCGTGCTGAACTAACCTCGTTACGCAGCTTCTTGATCTCTGTGGTAAGCTCCTCACACTGCTGCGTGTACTGCCACTTGGCCGTCTTCTCGCTCTCCATGATCTGCAGCAGGTGGAGGTGCTTGTGCTCCAATTCTTCCTTCTGCAGCATCAGCTTGTTGAAACTGTCGGCAATCAAAACGGTATGTACAGCCTCAGATTGTCTGAACTGTCGGGATGAGACGCGCCATTCTGATGGTTAAGACGGCCGTTGTGACAGATGAGACGTTTTTGTTGGATGGGACAGACCGCTTTGTTGGATGAGACAGATTATTTCTGATGGATGAGACGGGCCGTCCTGATGGTTTTATCACGGAGGGCCGAAACGCAGGCTCATGTACTTGGTTTTTCTCGGCAGTGCTACGTCGCATTACAGCAATGTTGGAACAGGGCCAACAATTAATGGCCTCATTACTGACAGGAAATGGGTCGCCACAGACATTAATAGCGTGCCCAGCTTCATTATCGAGTGACGTCAAACCGTGGTCAAGAAACACTGCGCATTCACAAAGAGCACCGTGCCGAAGGTGTCCTAATGAACCAAACGCAGCCATGAGATCCAGTAATACACAGAACTATACTCAATGGCTGACCCCAAACCATTCTCAAAGATACAGTGCCACCTGCTGTGGTATCCGAATAGCCGTGTGGCGTGTGCGCCGACGGCCACCGTGCTGCAGGCGGTCCGTCGCCCGTGCGACTTAGCCTCGGCCCGGCGGCTTATTTAGCCGGGGTCCGGCGGCTGACCGAGCCGAGGCCCGACGGCTAACCGAGCCGGGGTTCCACGGCTGACCGAGCCGGGGCCCCGCAGCTTACTGAGCCGAGGCCCCGTGGCTGACCGAGCCGGGGTCCCGTGGCTGACCGAGCCGGGGCCCCGTGGCTGACCGAGTCCCCGTGGCTGACCGAGCCGAGGCCCCGCGGCTTACTGAGCCGAGGCACCGTGGCTGACCGAGCCGAGGCCCCGTTACTGACCGAGCCGGGGACCGGTGGCTGACCGAGTCCCCGGGGCTGACCGAGCCGAGGCCCGGCGGCTTATTCAGCCGGGGCCCGCCGGGTGACCTAGCCGGGGCCCGACGGCTCACCTCGCCTGCCGTATGGCGTCGATCCAGGCCTTGCAGTCCCCCTCGGAGCTGGCCCGCAGGTCGTACTGGCGCTGGTTCTCTCGCCGGTACGTGATCGAGAAACAGTACTGTCGGGCAGGAAGTCCGCCGTCGGTTTATCGGCCGCGCTCGCTGTGCCCGGCCACCCGGGCAGCAGACATGTTCAAGGCATTGACCACATCACATTTTGGGGTAAGAGTGGGGTGTCAGTTGTTGGATCATTCATAATTCGTATCTCATACCTGTTTGGTCAGGAGCTCGCTGCTTACGCCCACGGTCTTGTTTTGCCACATTTTCTAGTGTGGTCATGGAGGTTCCGAGACAAAAAACAAGTTGGAGGAAAAAAGTCCAATGGAAAAGAGTGGAACAAGAAAAGACGAAAAAAATAAAGACCGCATGGAAAAGTTCAGCCACGGCAATATAAAAAGGACTAACAATTAACAGAAATACACTAAAATTATGGCACAAAGGTCAACAACCAAAAATCGACAGGGGATAAAGGCGACGGGGCCAAATTCAAAGCGGAATTAGTCTTAAGACAGAATATTGGCAGCGCCCAGGCTAAGCCGACAGGTAAAATCGGCGATCAGTAAAAGCACAGGTAGTCAAAGTGGTTTAAAACGGCATGGCACCAGGCAGCACCGCGTGGCCGCACGCGATGTGACGGAAGCAGACGTCACCGGGCGTGGTCGACATGAACCAGACGGGGCAGAACGGGGCCAGACGAAACCGGACGGAACCGGACCGAACCGGAGGAGCAGGACGAGATCAGACGGGACTGGACGAAACGTGACGCTGCCCGCCGGGAATGACGGGACCGGACAGGACTGTACGGAGCCAGACGGAACTGGACGCAACCGCATGGGTCCGGGTGCAGTCAGGCGGAGCCGGACCCAGCCGGATCAGACCAGACGGAACTGGACGCAACCGCACGGGTCCGGGTGCAGTCAGGCGGAACCGGACCCAACCGGATCAGACCAGACGGAACTGGACGCAATCGCACGGGTCCGGATGCAATCAGGGGAAACCGGACCCAACCGGATCGAACCCGACGAGACTGATCTACACCAAAGTATTGTGGGAGAAATCAGCCCACTGGTGGGCGGACGCGCTTCAAAACCGCCTGGTTAGCTTCAAATGGGCTCGGGAACGTAGACGCATCACATATCCATCCCATCCATTTTCCCCCGTCCTGACGAGCGGGCGAGCCGCGGCGTCTGACCTTAGGCTCCGTCTCCTTGGGCTTGGCGGTGGCAGCGATAAGTCGCTCGCAGTAGCAGCCCTCCAACAGGATGACACCCGACGGACGACTGCTCGACTCGGTCTCGTAGTAAAACAGCAGGTTCTGCAGCAGAACGTCCGACACGTCAGGCGTTCGCGGAATGGCGCGCTTCAGACGCGTTATCGCAGCTCCACGGCCCCACACGGCCCCGCGAGACGGCGGCGGAGATAATGCACGCACAGCGGGACATATATGAAGCAGGCGAATGGCGCAAGCGGTCGCCTCTTGGCAAACTGACCACAGTTTTGTTCAATTGTTCGATCGTCCCAGCATTTATAAATATGGGCGCGGGTGGTCGGCGACGCGCTCGGGTGGCGGTCAGTTTGCCCATTTCCTAAGATCTCACAAACTAAGAAAGATAGAGACACCAAGTTCACATGGTGGGTAGGTCTACAAGCAAATTCACTTGCGTCAAATTTTGAGGTAATATAATGCTTTATTCGAAGTCAATGGCACAAGTCACACGATAAAAACGAAGATGCGGCGATGATGAAAGCAAGTCAATAGCTTGAAAAAGCCTCACAAGTCAAATGACCCTTTTCACTTTGTTCAAGTTTGGATATGAGCGCAGCACGGCTCCGAGGTCATAACGGCCGCCGGCAGGTGGTTCCAGGACGAGGCCGCACGATACAAAAACGCCCTACGCGACATAGATAGCCGGAAAGCGGGCAGCTCCAAAGCGTCGGCCACCGCCGACCTCGCGATGCGCTCACTCACAGCCAAAGAAAGCTCTTCGAAGGTGTGAACATCGACCGCAGACCGCGGGGAACGGGGGTCACTTAAGGCCCTGAAGACCCAGTGCGGTTGCGGCGCGTAACAAGGTCACTCATGCGCCAGTTCAGTGACCTTACGACCGGTGAGATGTGATCTCGGTCGTGCGTCCCCGAGACGATCTCGGCCGCGAAATTCACGGCTTTTTGCACCCGGCCGAGAAAGCAGGTGGCGGCCGCGCCCGGACTGAAAGGCCGCACAGGATATGGGGGGAAAGATGGGCCTGGATGGAGAGCTTGCGGGCTTCGCGTGTGCGATGATGTCGAATTGTATATAGACAAACCAGGACGGAGTTGCACTTTTTGACCAGCTTGTATTGTGTTTTGATTGATGTGATTTGATTTGGATTGATGTGTTCCTCAAAGGCTAGAGTAGAGTCGATGGTCACTCCCAGCGAGGACGGCGTGGGAGTTAATATTAAGTTGGAGATGTTAAGATGTAAGGATTAAGTTATTTTGATTGTCTGGGCGTGCTGACTAGAAGAAGGGCAGTCTTGGTGTGGTTGATCTTAAGGGAATTGGCAGTGAAATTGTATTGGAGGGCAAGGAGGGTTTCTTCCTGTCGGGAATTTAGGGTGGACAGGTGGTCGGGGTGGGTGGATTCAAGGAGTTAGGTATCATCGGCGCCAAGACACCAGACGCCCGTGAGGTGGGTAGGATAGAAGGTCGTTCCTAAAGATGCTGAGGAGGATTGGGCCCACTAGGACCCCCTGAGGTAAACGTGCGGCAAAGGAAGGGGAATTGAACCACCTCTCACCACCTGCCACCGCCCATCAAGACAACTTTGAAACCATTGGGTTTCGGTGCCGTGTCACTGCACCTTGGTCAGGAGGACACCGGGTCAACGCTGCTGAAAGCTCGACTTAGGTCTGTAGAGGCGACGGCCACGACATGTCCAGAATCGATCCGACACGTCATCTGCTCCACAGCGTCGACCACGTCCTCCGCTGAGTGGCCCGGCCTATACGCAAACTGTGAAGTGGCTAACAGACCGTGGAAGTCAAGATGAGACGGCAGCTGCAGGTAAACAATCTTTTGGCATATTTTCGCCAAAGCAGATACAATTCATATAGGTCTAAAATTGCTAGCCGCGTCACGCGGGTCGGACTTGTGAACGGGGAAAAAACTAAAGCCATCTTTCACACACAGGGAAAAGCGCAGTTGACAATAGAAACATTGACTAGATTTTGTTGTTGTTGTTTATTGGAGTTTAGGGGCGCGCCGACTGCGGTGGTCATTTGGCGCCCATAACGAGTCTTGTTTTACCTATCTAATGAGCCGCATAAATGGTCCCAGAGTTGATGCGCTTGAGAAACTAAAAGATCTGTTGAAATTCCAGAAATGGGGATTTATCTCCTAGCATAACACAGAGGGTAAGGGGCAAGTCATGCTGTCCAAAATAGCGTTGGCGTTCTTCCGCGAGGCGCGGACAAGAAATAAGAATATGGCGAACAGTGAGGACAGCACCACATCGATGACAGATCGGTTTATCGGCTCCCTCCAACATGAAGCCGTGGGTTGCGTATGTGTGCCCGATGCGCAATCTGCAGAGGAATCACCTCCTCTCGCCGCATTTTCCGGAAACAAGAGAACCACTGACCCAGCTTAGGTTTTATCTCTCTGAGCTTATTACTATCCAAACATCTGACTAGATAAAAAAGCAAGTGAGGTCCCATAATAGCGAGACACTTTTTACCGCAAGCAGCGGCTCACCACCGATTTTAGCAGCTCTAGATGAGTGCAAGCCACTGAAAGCCTCGGAAGCCCGGGCAGGGTCACGAGGTGTAAAACTGGCCTGGCTGTGGTCACGCACGGCGATCTCGGAGGAAGACGCGGGACGCCATGGCTGCCTGCCGCTAGCCAGGTCGCGATTTATGGATCAACTGAGGCGGCCTGAAGGTTTAAATCGTCGGCCATGTCCGCGAGCATTATCTCCTAGGCACCACCACCTCCACCCACACCCTCTCCCCAAGCGGGCCTATGTCCAAACTCCTGGATAGTCCACTAGAAACTGGCCCGGCCGGATAACATGCTGGTGCATAGAAAGCTACGCTTGACCTGAGCGAAGCAACAATTAACCCGGTTTTGCAAACGCCGGTATTCAGTGAGGTCAGTCTCCTGCACCGCTACCTGCGCCACGACCGACAAACCTGGTCGCGCTCCCGCATCACACACACACAGCAGATTGGGTTTGTTCTCAATCCAGGGGCAGCATTGACGGCGGATCGTTGCTGTTTTCGGAGGGCGATGCATACCAACGGCACCTGGCCAGACGCACATGAACTCCTCCATCCTCCTCGCCATGCCCACGACACGCTACAACGAGTCCCAGCCTGCCTGCAACAAATGCAGACTGAGCGTGTCCCAGCAAACTCTGCGCCGGGGGCGAATACGAAAAGGGACAGGACGCACACGCTGCCGCCTGAACAGGGTACGACCAATGATAGTGAGATGATCTGCCATCGGCAGCGGCGACACTAGCTGAACAGGGCACGACCAGTGATGGCGAGATGATCCACCATCGGCACCGGCGACACCAGCTGAACAGGGCACGACCAGTGATGTCGGGATGATCCACCATCGGCGCCGGCGACACCCGAACAGTACCCTCCAGATTCGGATCTGCCATCGGCACCGGCGCCACTAGCTGAACAGGGCACGACCAGTGATGGTGAGATGATCCGCCATTGGCACAGGCGACACCAGCTGAACAGGGCACGACCAATGATTGTGAGATGATCCGCCATGGGCACCGGCGACACCAGCTGAACAGGGCACGACCAGTGATGGTGAAATGATCCACCATCGGCAGTGGCGACACCAAAACAGTGCCCTCCAGATTCGCAACGGTGGTAAGCACGTGGTCCGGCAGATTCGCCGTAGGCTCAAGATGGGTCGGTATATCATTAAGCCGCACAAGACTAGCATTAATATAATGGAATACCCGAATGGAATAAGTTGCGACCGCAAATTCAGCTGTTTACTTTTCAAAGCCACAAAGATTCTTCAACCGATAACGTAAACAATTTAGAATAAGCAAGTACAAAAGCGATCAGGTAGTGGGACTACAAGTGGGACAATCCTCTCGTCCCCTCGAATTATGGTGTTTAGGTCAGCCCCAGGAGAAGGTTCGCCTGCTTGAAGAACGGTTTATGTGGTTCGCGATGCTTTCTTTTGTGATCACTTGTTTGTTGACGTAGCGCATGCGGATGGGCTGGGCATTATATATTGAGTCATTATAGCTTTTACTTGCAGTCTCCCTGTAGCGCAGAGTATGGCCACAGGTCAAGACGACCGGCGGAGAAGTCAACGGTGATGTTCAGCTTGCCCCTGTTTTGGCCTTGCTGCAGCGAGAGCCGTTCCGGGTGCACTACAAGGATGCATGGGCGCCTCGAGTCCGCAAAGTCTCAGAGCACTTCCGGCAGTGCTCCCACATGGACCACATCGACTTCTCACCTCCGTCAAACATCTCTTCTTTGCCGAAAATGTCAAAGCAATTCTGTAACCGCACCTAGCCCGCCATGGGCAGGATCGGTATGCTGAGGTTCCAGACGTTCGCTTGTAGACAGTCCAAGTCCTCCACAGCGTGAACTTGAGCTGTCCGACAAACAGTTCAACGAACTTGTACTTCTTCAGGGACACGAAACCTCCCAGGCCTCCAATGGCTCCTAGCTATAACACTGGTGGCTATGACGGTTATATGGTGATCAATGCCGGTGGTTATGGACTTGGGTTGGTTGTTAACACATTCCACGTCCTCGTAGAAGCCAGCAGGCATGCGAGGAACTCCTGTGCATCCGGTTGCTGATGGGCCATTGTTTGGGCCGCGAACCTCTGAGACCGCACTTTTAATGGAGCGGTGGTCAGCTCCTGGTCAGCCTTACCTGAACTCTTCCATAGACTTTGCATTGCCATGTTCAATTATCTGATGAGTGTCCCCTTCATGAAGCGGAGGTGGTTGTCTTGACGTCTCTCTAGTACTCGTCTCGCAAAATGTAGCCATGCAGGGCGCCAGTGTTGCTGAGGCATTGCAGCACCGCGTACATAAAGCACGTACTGCCAGTGTTTTGGAAACCAATAAGTCCGAGTGGATGTGTCTCAGGCCGCACTATAGCGTTAATGCGACATGCCGTCTTTGTGACGTACTTACTGCACAGAGTTGTGTAGATTTTTGTTGCACCGGAGCGGGCTCTCCCCTTTGTAGTTAAAACATCAGACAGTCCGGCCCTCGGCGCGTGCGGCGACTGCGTGCGGGTCTGAGCGGGGTGCGCTGAAGTGGCGCGTGGCGTGGCC